CTTTTAAGCCCTTGATCTACATGTACTGTGTTGCAGGCTGCAGGCTCTGTTTCTGGACTTAGATTTTGAGGTAGTGTCCTGGGCAGGGGCTCAGCTACAGAACCCTTTGTGGCTGAGGTTCTGCCTGAAACCCTGGCACGGAACTCAGGAAGTTTCTGAGACCTCAAGTGCATAGAGCTCATCCAAGATAATATTTGGGTTTTGCTAAACCCTAGGTCTCTTGGGCTTCAAGCCGTAGGTTTCCGATATTTACATTTGATTTGTACTTCTACTACTACTACTGCTAGTACTGCTAGTGTTATTTGGGTGCTGGTCCTAGGCCTTGAACTCAGGGCCTGGGTACTGTCCTTTTGTTCAAGGCTAGCACTTTGCCACTTGAGCCACACCTCCACTTCTAGCTTTTGGGTGATTAATCAGAACTGAGAGTCTCATAGACTTTCCTGCCCAGGCTGGCCTCAAATCACCCCCCCCCCCCCCCCCCGGCAGGTCGCAGCCGCCTAACTAAGATTATAGATGTGAACCACTGTAATTAACTGTTCAATTCTGTGATTTATTTATGCATGGGCGCTGGTGGCTCAGGCCTGTAATCCTAGCTACTCAGGAGGCTGAGATCTGAGGATCACGGTCCAAAGCCAGCTGGGGCAGGAAAGTCTATGAGACTCTTATCTCCAATAAACCACTAGAAAACTGTGGCTAAAGAGGTAGAGCACTCACCTTGAGCTGAAGAGCACAGGGACAGCACCCAAACCTAGAGTTCAAGCCCTACAACCGACAAAAAAAAATGTATTCATGATTTATTTATGAATTATTAAATGTACTGAGAAGCAAAATATGTTGGTTCATACCTGCAATCTCAGAGATTAAAGGGAATCAGATTCAAGTTCAGTCTGGGAAAAAAAAAGTGAGATCCCATCTCAAAAAGCCAGGTGTTGAGGTAAGTATAATAATCCGAGCTACATGGGAGGCAGAGGTAGAAAGATCAAGGTCTGAAGCCCTTCTAAGATACAAATGTAAGATCCTATCTGAATTTTTTTTTTAGGTCCGGCCGTGGGGCTTGAACTCTGGGCCTGGACGTTGTCCCTCAGTTCTTCAGGTCAAGGTTAGCACTCTACCACTTGAGTCACAGCACCACTTCCGGCCTTTTCTGCTTATGTGGTCTGAGGAATCGAACCCAGGGCCTCATGTATGCAAGGCAAGCATTGTACCACTGAGCCGCCTTCCCAGCCCTATTTTTATTTTTTATTAGTGTTACTGGAATTTGAGCTCAGGACCTCATGTTTGCTGGGCAAGTGTTCAACTTGAGTTATACCCCTAGCTCCAAAACAAAGTTGTTTTTTTTTTGTTTGGTGCTACTGTGGTTTAAACGCAAGGCTTTGTGCTTTCAGGCTGTCTACCACTTCATTGTACCCCTAGCCTTTCAAACATTTTGTTGTGTGTGTGTGTGTATGTGTATTTACACATACACGTATGTGTGTATATATATATATATATATATATATATATATACACACACACACACACACACACACACATAGACACACAGATGTACTGAGATTTTAATTCAGAGTCTCATGCTTGCTCAGCTGGTACTCTACCACTTGAGCCACACCTCCAGCCTAGTTACTTATTTATTTTATTTTGGTGCCAGTCCTAGGGTTTGAACTGAGGGCCTGGGCACTGTCTCTGAGCTTTTTTGCTCAAGGCTGGTACTGTAGCACTTGAGCCACTCTCCCAGTTCTGAATACTGGTTATTTTAAGATAGAGTCTTGTGGATTTTTCTGCCTGGGCTTTGAACTATGATCCTCCGTATCTCAGCTTCCTGAGTAGCTAGAATTACGGTATGAGCCACGGGTACCAGCTGTTTTTTTTTTGTTGGTCAAGGGGCCTGAACTCTGGCCTGGGCGCTGTCCCTGAGCTCTTCAGCTCGAGGCTAGCGCTCTACCACTTGAGCCACAGCGCCACTTCCAGCTTTTTCTGCATATGTGGTGCTGAGGAATTGAACCCAGGGCCTCATGCATGCGAGACAAGCACTCTACCACTGAGCCACCTTCCAGCCCCATGCCAGCTGGTTTTGTATATGAGTTTTAGACAGTTCAAGCTACAAAGATGAAGTGATTTATTTTGTCAGAACGGCTGTTTTGGCCCCCGTCAATTGGCCGATGCAGGCTTGGTTACTGAGTTCTGTGGAGCGGCTGTCCTGCGAAGGCCGGGTGTGATTTCTTCCGGTCTGCCTAGGGGTTGAAGTTAGACCTCCTGCTTTGCCATCTGGCTTGAAGGTCGGGGCACTGGGATGTGCTCACCTCGGGCCTGTCTGGGTGCCTGTGGCGTTCACACATCTCCCTGGCCTGTCTGTGTCAGGTGGACACGCGCTCCCTGCTAACCCTCCTGCGAACTTCATGCCGATGTGTGCTGCGTCTTCGGCACACAAGTCCCCTTCGGACCCTTGGGTGACGTGTGAATTGTGTCTGGTCCTAGTTTTGCCTCTGTCTTTCTGGAGCGACCACTGGCCCTTGCTGAGTGATCGTAGGAGTCAAGAGAAGCTTACGGTGCCTCCTCCTCACTGTTCTCCCATCCTGGCTAGCCACTCATCAGGAACCATCTGCCCTTCCACCTGAGACTGCAGCTGGTCTCTGTGCCAGGCTGCATCAGCACTTGCTCATTGGTATCTGTGAAGACCTGAGCCCACAGACCCATCTGACAGTAGTGTGATTGAATCACAGCTGTGGCCATGTGGTTGCACCGCATGGCCAGGGCTGGAGGCAGGGACAGGGGCAGGATTGGAGCTGGCTGGGGCAGGTAAGTTAAGACAGACACAAAGGAAAGAGGAGCAGGCCTGTGGCTATGTGTGAGGGATGGGCCTGTGCTATGACTGCTTTGCCCACCTGCATGCCATCAGCACCCTTCCCTGGCTGAGGCCTGCATGGAGAGACAGCCGAAAGGCTTTAGGAAAGGAGGCTGTAGAGGTGGGCAGGCAGGGCTGCGGGCGGGGGTGGGGGATAGGCCGCAGGAGTCTGAGCCTCCCCCAGTTTCTGCTTCCTTGAGCTTCTGAGGTTGAGGAGGTCATTTTTGTCTGGAAGTGTGTGTGTGTGTGTGTGTGTGTGTGTGTGTGTGTGTGTGTGTGTCTGGGCTCTAAGGTATCTGAGAGCCTTGGTCTGCGTCCTCCTGTGGTCCATACTCTCTCTTGTGCCTACTTGTGTGAGTTGTTGGACATCTCTGCACATATACCTGTGTCTCCATGTGTTTACTCTTGCCTTGGGATAACTTGGTGTATATTTGTCCTCACGTACCCACTGAGTGTCCATATGCCCTTGCATCTAAGCTGTAATATAGATGCAGAGCTGAGTCCTGGGAGACAGTTTGGGATGCTTTGGCCTCTTCTGGTCTGCTTGCTTTGTCCTCTCCTGGTTCCACAGGTATCCTAGCAACACTGCTGCCAGTTGCCTAGCAACCAGGTCCCCATCCTTGGAGAAGGAGCAGGGACTGCCTGTGGGGGGAGGTCTGTTCTTCCTCCCAGCTCAGGCAGGAAGAACATGCCCATGGTTGAGTGTGAGCTGGGTACTGAGTGCAGAGGTCACCCAGATGGCCTTGTCCTGTGGACTTTCACCTCTGCGGACTGTGCTTCTGAACCCTATGCTGCAAGAGTTCACAGGGACCCTTTAGCCGTGTGCATGTCAAGGCCCATTTCTGGGACTTGCCTGGGCAGAGGTGCATGGGGGAGGGGCGGGTAGCTCCAAGGAACAAGCGGAACTGGGCTTCCTCATGTTTCCACACTATGGAGAGGTGGCTCAGCACCTGTGAAGCTTCCTGCGCTCATCTGTGTGAAAATGATCTCAGTGGCCATTGTTCTTGTGGTGCCCAGCTTATGTTTGTGTTGGCCTTGACACACAATCGGCACAGCAACACATAGTAGGCATGGTGCTAGTACTGGGCCCTAGGTTCAGACAATTGCCTGTATGTTTACAAGACCCCAACCCTGAAAGCAGGTCAAGCCCTGGCGCGGTTGCCGGCTTGCTGCTGTGTGAACCTCGTTGGACCCCTGGCTTACGGCACAGCTTGGGGCAGGGAGCAGTCCAGAGCCTGAGTGTTGGTGGACATTTGCATCTGCCTCCGGGTTAGCAAACGTCTCCTGGAGCATATGCCTGAGTTCCTGTGCACCCTTTCATTTTGTGTCTGTAGATGTCTCTGTGGTGGGACCCAGTCCATGTAGACCTGTGTCTGGGCTCTGTGTGTCTACTTCTTTAAGTATACCCTGGGTCTTGTGTCTGTCCCCATCTGGTACAGGGCCCAGGTGGCCCTGGGTGGGCTGGTCCTCTTCCTCACGGCCCCCTCCCCTTGCCTGCGCAGCCTGCCTCTCCAGAGCCGCAGCCTCCCTCCCCTCCCCCAGCTCCGGGCTGCGGCACCGACTGCTGCGTCTTGTCTGGAATCTGCGAGGAGCAGCCGCAGCAGCCGTGCGCAGCCTGTGCGGACCCTGTGTGGAGAAGAGGGGTGGTAGCCGGCCCGTTCTGCTCCCGCCGGCCTCATCTGTCTGCACAGGGCTGGGGTCTCCTCAGTCCTGCTCTCAAGAAGGTTTTGGAGGTAAGGACTAGTGGGAGTTGGGCTGTGGCTGCTCAGTTGGGCAGGGAGGGGCAGAAGGACATTGTGCCCAGTACCTGTGCCCTGGGCATTTCTGGGCAAGGCTTAGTCTCATGCGTGGCTGAGCAGGAGGGTGGTTTGGGCATTTCTGTGTGCATGTCTGAGTGTCTCTGAGCCCCTGTGTGTAGATCCATGTTTGTGTGTGACTGTCTCCATGCGGCGGCTGAGGAGTTGTGTGGTGTCCTTGTGTGTGCCTTCTGTGTGGCCTCCCTCCCCGTGCGAGCGTGTCTGTGCCCGGCAGTGCTCTCACATGGGCTTCCGTGTGTCTCAGTGGACACATGGGCTCCTGCGGGCTGCACGCCTGGCAGCCCAGCCTCCCGCAGGCTGCAGCTGGCACTGTGGTCTCTCACCTCGGTGTCCTGTCCCAGGTGCTGAGCTGGTGGCTTTGCGGGTGGTGGAATGGAGACCCTCTTCCCTGCCCCGTTCTGGGATGTCCTCTACGACAGCCACCTTCAGGGTAACCTGTCCCTCCACACGGCCAACCACAGTGAGCTGCCCCCCAGCCTGCTGCTCAACGTCAGCCACAGTGCCTTCCTGCCCCTCGGCCTCAAGGTCACCATCGTGGGGCTCTACCTGGCCGTGTGCGTCGGGGGGCTGCTGGGGAACTGCCTCGTCATGTATGTCATCCTCAGGTAGGCCCTGTCATAGCCGTTGGGGGGAGCACTGCGGAGAGAGGCCTTTCTGGGGGACCTGCAGGCGGGGATTCCTGCTTCCTTCACTAAATTCCATCTCTTTCTGTCCAGGGCCAGGCCGACTTGAGGCCCTGGGCGCTCACGCCCTCCCACCGCCCCGTCTGCCCCAGGCTAAGCGTCATCACTAGAGCCTTGGTCTGAGCTAAACCCAGGCTCTGTGCCAGACTGTTTGTGTGAGCGACCTCATAGGGACCAGAGCAGGAGAGGGCAGGCAGGCAGGCACAGGGCTCGGTGCTGGGAAGGGCCCAAAGCCCCTTCTCTAGGGCTCACGGTTCATGTCTGACCCAGCCCACCTTCTGCTTGTGCTCAGAGATGAAAAGGCTTGGGGCCAAAGAGAAGGCCACGATGCTGGGTAGCTAGGGTGGTAGGGACAGCGTAGGGCATTGTTAAGGGCCTCACGGTGGGGGGGCATGTGGGGCAGTGTGGGGTGGGCAGGGACCCTGCACATGGAGTGTGAAATGAGTGATGGATCTGTGCGCTCAGGATGGGAGGGAATTGAGGGGGCCGGGACAGTGGAAAAGGGCTTGAAGGCCAAACTGGGGACGGGAGGTTGCTGTGGGAGGTACTTGAGCAATAGCGACACAGCCAGGGTTGGCTTTCTTTCCCTTCAAAAAAAAAAAATCGCTGTTGTAGCCGGGCACCATGGCTCACGCCTGTCATCCTAGCTACTCAGGAAGCTGAGATCTGAGGATCACGGCTCAAAGCCACCCTGGGCAGGAAAGTCTGTGAGACTCTTATCTCCAACAAACCACCAGATAACTGGAAGTGGCGCTGTGGCTCAAGTGGTAGAGCGCTCGCCTTGAGCTGAAGAGCTGAGGGACAGCGCCCAGGCCCAGAGTTCAAGCCCCACAACCAACAAAAAAAAAAAGAGGGGTTATAGTTACCTAAGTCAGGTAGAATACATTTCTTTTTTATTTTTATTTTGTCAGTCAGAGGACTTGAACTCAGGGCCTGGGTGCTGTCCCATAGCTGTTTTGCTCACGAGTAGCACTCTACTGCTTTGAGCCATAACTCCCACTTCTGGATTTCTGGTGATTTATTGGAGATAAGAGTCTTATGGGCTTTCCTGCCTAGCCTGGCTTTGAACCGTGATCCTCAGATATTAGCCTCTTGAGTAGCTAGGTTTATAGGTGTGAGCCACTGGTGCCTGGCTAAGAGAACATTTCTTTTTGGACAATATCATGCCTTTGTTCCCTCTCTCCCAATTTCTCCCTCCCATCCGTACCCTATAGTTCTTTTTTTTGGTCAGTTGTGGGGCCTGAACTCTGGCCTGGGCGCTGTCTCTCAGCTCTTCAGCTCAAGGCAAGCGCTCTACCACTTGAGCCACAGCACAACTTCCAGCTTTCTCTTTTTATGTGGTGCTGAGGAATTGAACCCAAGGCCTCATGCGTGCAAGGCAAGCGCTCTACCACTGAGCCACCTTCCCAGCCCCCTGTAGTTCATACTCAGTGTCTAATGAGTACCACTGCTGCATTTGTCCCACTTTGTTAATTTCTGTGGTTTCTTTTGTTATTGTTAATGTTTTAGTTCTAGTCCTGGGCTTCAACTCAGAGTAGATGCTGTTCCTGAGCCTCTTTTGCTCAAGACTGATGTCTGCCACTTGAGCCACAGCTCTACTGCTGGCTTGTCTCACAGACTTTCTTGCCTGGGCTGGCTTTGGATTAAGCTCCTCAGATCTCAGCCTCCTGAGGAGCTAGGATGACAAATGTGAGCCACTGGTGCCTGGCCAGGGTGAAGTTTCTGAATAATTTAGAATGTTCTCTCTGATCCAGAAAGGGGTGACTCTGAAGGAGGTACCCATGGTCTTCTAGTGACCTTCCAGATTCCAATGGAGGTGTAGGGTTAGGAGTGTGTTAGTGGAGTCAGGACAGGGTCTGCTTCCCCACATTCTCCAAGGTTCCTGAGCAAACCCTACCATACCTCAAAGTGAGAGGCATGGACCACGTAGCCATGGGTTTGCACCGTGTAGGTGCATCTGTGCGTGTGTGTGTGTGTGTGTGTGTGTGCACATGCATGCGTGTGGTCAGACACAGGAGTGGGAAAAGCAGCTGGCCCTCCCAGCACTAACTTACAGGGAAGGATCCTAGAAAGGCCACTCCATGACCCTTTGTGGTTGGGTGATATGCAGCAACCTCCTTCCTGTTACCAGTATTTCCCTTCTGTGTCTCCCCTCTGCACGGGGCTCACCCACTTCCTGGAGTACTGCCTGCAAAAAAGCCTGAGGGGCCGTGTCAGAGCTGCTGGCTACGCTGGCTTGGAGGCGGCCAGGCTCAGAGACATCTGATCCAAGCCCTGACTCTGCTTTTGACCATCTCCAAGGCCTAAAAAAGCTACTTTGATCCACTGAGCCTGTTTTTATCCTTCATAAAGTGAAGATAAAAATAGTGCTTTTGTGGGAAAGAATGGGAGGGGGAAACTTGGGGAAAGCAAAGGAAGGGGTGACATTGCCCAAAAAAGAAGTGTACTCATTACCTGACGTACGAAATGGTAGCCCTCTGTACAACACCTTAATAATAATAATAGAATTACACTAACAATAGTGTCTTTGTGAGTCTCAAATAAGATTAAAGACCACGTAGAGAACTTGGCACAGAGATCTACCATTATCATGGTCATTGTTACTTGGTATAGTTAAGGCCTCTTGGTGCTTAGTCTCCCTCCCTCCCTCCCCCTCCCTCCCCCCTCCCTCCCCCTCCCTCCTTCTCTCTCTCCTTCTCGCCCCCTCTCTCCCTCCCTCCCTCTCTCCCTCCCTCTCTCCCCTCTCTCTCTCCTTCTCTCCCCCCTCTCCCTCTCTCCCCCTCTCTTTTTCTCCCCCCTCTCTCCCTCTCTCCCCCTCTCTTTCTTTCTCCCCCTCTCTCTCTCTCCCTCCCCCTCCCTCCCTCCCCCTCCCTCCCTCCCTCTCTTTCTCCTCGTTTCTCTCTCCCCCTCTCTCTTTCTCTCCCTCTTTCTCTCTCTCCCTCTCTCCCCCCTCTCTCCCTCTCTCCCCCTCCCTCTCTCCCTCTCCCCCCACCCCCTCTCCCCCCTCTCCCTCCCTCTCTCCCCCTCTCCCCCCTCTCCCTCCCTCTCTCCCCCTCTCTCTTTCTCCCCCTCTCTCTCTCCTTCTCTCCTCCCTCTCCCTCTCTCCCCCTCTCTCTTTCTCCCCCTCTCTCTCTCCTTCTCTCCTCCCTCTCCCTCTCTCCCTCTCTCCCCTCTCTCTCCCTCTCTCTCCCTCCCTCTCTCCCTCTCCCCCCACCCCCTCTCCCCCCTCTCCCTCCCTCTCTCCCCCTCTCCCTCCCTCTCTCCCCCTCTCTCTTTCTCCCCCTCTCTCTTTCTCCCCCTCTCTCTTTCTCTCCCTCTCTCCCCCCTCTCTCCCTCTCTCCCCCCCCTCTCTCCCTCTCTCTCCCTCCCTCTCTCCCTCTCCCCCCTCCCCCTCTCCCCCCTCTCCCTCCCTCTCTCCCCCCTCCCTCCCTCTCTCCCTCTCCCCTCTCCCCCTCTCTCCTTCTCCCTCCCTCTCCCCTCTCCCCCTCTCTCCTTCTCCCTCCCTCTCTCTCCCTCCCTCCCTCCCTCTCTCTCCCTCCCTCTCTCCCTCTCCCCTCTCCCCCTCTCTCCTTCTCCCTCCCTCTCTCTCCCTCCCTCCCTCCCTCTCTCTCCCCCTCTCTCCCTCTCTCCCCCCCTCTCTCCCTCTCTCCCCCCTCTCCCTCCCTCTCTCCCCCCTCTCTCTTTCTCTCTCCCTCCTTTTCCCTCTCCCTCTTTCACCCTCCCTGCTCTCAGGGAGCTAAACCCCAGATGCAGGATGTTATCATCTCTACTGCTGCCACCCCAGAACCCCCCCCCCCATCCACATAACCGCATCGTGCCCCCTGGCACTTCTTCATGGCCATCACTATCATAACCACAGTCATCACTGTATCACCATTACAACCCCTCCCCTACCACTACCGGAAGCAACGATTAACGCCTCCTTATCAATCTTACAATATTCCCAGCCTTGTTTCATGTACTTAGATCCAACCATAGCCTATCACTACCTCTCCTATTCCTATCACCTTTCCTTTATTATTTTGGTCGGTTGCAGGGCTTGAACTCTGGGCTCTCCAGCTCAAGGCGAGCGCTCTACCGCTTGAGCCACAGCGCCACTTCCGGTTTTCTAGTGGTTTATTGGAGATAAGTGTCTCATGGAGGACTGGGAAGGTGGCTCAGTGGTAGAGTGCTTGCCTTGCATGCATGAGGCCCTGGATTCGATTCCTCAGCACCATATAAGCAAAAAGAAAAAAGCCGGAAGTGGCGCTGTGGCTCAAGTGGTAGAGTGCTAGCCTTGAGCTGAAGAGCTGAGGGACAGCGCCCAGGCCCAGAGTTCAGGCCCCACGACCGGACTCCACCCCCCCCCCCAAAAAAAAAAAAAAGCGTCTCATGGATATTTCTGCCCAGGCTGGCTTTGAACCGTGATCCTCAGATCTCAGCCTCCTGAGTAGCTAGGATTACAGGCATGAGCCACCAGTGCCTGCTCACCTTTCCTTTTTATGTTTTTTTTTTTTCCCTATCACCTTTTCTTTCCTTTTTCTTTTTTTTCTTTCTTTTTCTTTTTTTTTTTTGGTTGTGGGGCCTGAACTCTGGGTCTGGGCGCTGTCCCTCAGCTCTTCAGCTCAAGGCTAGTGCTCTACCACTTGAGCCACAGCGCCACTTCCGGCTTTTTCTGCTTATGTGGTGCTGAGGAATTGAACCCAGGGCCTCTGCTTGCAAGGCAAGCGCTCTACCACTGAGCCACCTTCCCAGCCTCCCCTTATTTCCTTATTTTGTTGGTCATGGGGCTTGAACTCTGGGCCTGGGTGCTGTCCCTGAGCTCTTCAGCTCAAGACTAGTGCTGTACCACTTGAGCCACAGCACCACTTCTGGTTGGTTTTCTGGTGGTTTATTGGAGATAAGAGTCTTACAGACTTTTCCTGCCTGGGCTGGCTTTGAACCGCGATCCCCAGATCTCAGTCTCCTGAGCAGCTAGAATTACAGGGGTGAGCCACAGTACCCAGCCCTATCACCTTTTCATTTCCATTGTTGGATACCAGTGTGCAGTAGGTTTTAAAGTGTGGCGTGGTTTTAAAGACTTTAGGTCCTTAGAAACCTCCAACAGTTGAATCTGAGAAGGGTCTTGAGGGGGACCCAGAGGCGGGAGCTCCTCACCACATGCAGAGTTGCAGAGTCAGGAGTGCAGGCTGGTACCCCAGGTCCTGTAGACTGGCAGGCTAGACTTGAGGGTGTGGAACCGTTTGTGGTGTCAGAATCACTTGAGGAGCTTCGTGAGGCTTTCTTCCCAGGCTCTGCCCTCCATGTCTGACGCAGCGGGGCTCAAACCTGCCATCATCCAGCATGCCTCCGTGGCTGAGGCGCTGTCCGTCAGGCGGGGAAGATTCGACCCTCTTCTGCCCTTGGCTTCTTGGATTCGGCCCAGTGGCCAAGTGGAGCCTTTTCCTTCCCTGTTCTCTGTAGGCACACCAAGATGAAGACCGCGACCAACATTTATATCTTCAACCTGGCCCTGGCCGACACTCTGGTCTTGCTGACGCTGCCGTTCCAGGGCACAGACATCTTGCTGGGGTTCTGGCCGTTTGGAAATGCCCTGTGCAAGGCAGTCATCGCCATCGACTACTACAACATGTTCACCAGCATCTTCACGCTGACGGCCATGAGCGTGGACCGCTATGTGGCCATCTGCCACCCCATTCATGCCCTTGACGTCCGGACCTCCAGCAAGGCCCAGGCTGTCAACGTGGCCATCTGGGCTCTGGCCTCTGTGGTTGGAGTTCCTGTCGCCATCATGGGTTCTGCACAGGTGGAGGATGAAGGTCGGTGGGCAGCCCCTCCTCCCTGACCAGGCTCCCTGGGTTGCTAGTGGCCCCTCTGACCCTGTTTCTCTCCTGCAGAGATCGAGTGTCTGGTGGAGATCCCTGAGCCCCAGGACTACTGGGGCCCTGTATTTGCTGTCTGCATCTTCCTCTTCTCCTTTGTCATCCCTGTGCTGGTCATCTCGGTCTGCTATAGCCTCATGATCCGGCGGCTTCACGGTGTCCGTCTGCTCTCGGGCTCTCGGGAGAAGGACCGGAACCTGCGGCGCATCACGCGGCTGGTGCTGGTGGTGGTGGCTGCGTTTGTGGGTTGCTGGGCACCTGTGCAGGTCTTTGTGCTGGTCCAAGGCCTGGGAGTTCAGCCTGGAAGTGAGATTGCTGTGGCCATTCTGCCCTTCTGCACAGCCCTGGGTTATGTCAACAGCTGTCTCAACCCCATCCTCTATGCCTTCCTGGATGAGAATTTCAAGGCCTGCTTCCGCAAGTTCTGCTGTGCATCTGCCCTGCACCGGGAGATGCACATGTCTGAGCGTGTGCGCAGCATTGCCAGGGATGTGGCCCTGGCCTGCAAGACCTCAGAGACGGTACCACGGCCGGCATGACTAGGCGTGGATCTGCCCATGGGGCCTGTCAGTCCACAGAGCCCATCCACGCCCAACACAGAACTCACACAGGTCACTGCTCTCTAGGCTGATGTCTGGCCCCTGAGAATCTGAAGCCTTGGGTGGTTTCCCTTTGGCCCAGGGACGCCCAGTCCCAGAGGAAGTCCTAGGAGCATCATGGATGTTCCAATCAAAGCTTTAGGGCCACTCTGTGACCTGTCTGTGACCTGTCAGCCTCAGCTGCCCTTCTGGAGTGGGCCAGAGGTCACACAAGGACACTGCTTGGAAGTCTCCACGGCGCCCGTGGACACACCTGGTGAGCCACCTGGGGTCAGCTGAGCCCTGGCTCCGGGTGGGGTCTCACCCTGGGGTTTGACTGACAGTGTGGCCGTGTGTGTCCTGTGTGCTGTCTGCCGCTCGCACGGCAGGACTCTGGCTGCTTTCGACCTTGCGGTGTCTCCGCAGGCCACTGGATGAGCTTTGTGCACCCAGGCACAGCGGGCAGCATTTCTCTGGAGTGCAGCTGGCCCTGAGCTCGGAGCCACCCTGGCACACTTGCCTGTTGAGTCTGGTGCAGCAGGTCACCCTGGGCTCTCAGGTCGAGGCCTTGCACCAGTCCTGGCTGGTGGTTTTCTGAAGTCCTCCTACTGCATTCTGCAGCCTGTGGGTATGAACCTGTCCTGGCACTACTCCCCCGAGAGCAGGGTGCCCTGGGCACCTTCCCTCAGGAGGCCCACAGAACAGAGCTGGCCCTGGAGGCTTACCAGTGAGCTCTTTTCCTCCTGAAGTGCCGTTTTGAAACTCAACCATGTGAACGACCGTGTTCTAGACCATATGGCAAAACTCTGCTTCTGCCTTGTTGCTCATAAAGCAGAGGCCCCGTGGGCTGTCAGGCGAGGTCAGAGGCCCATAGCGGCCTGGGGCTTTTCCACACAGATGCCTTTGCTTGAGATCAGAAGCAGCAGCTGTCACTGAAGGAGTCTTGGAAGCCCAAGACTTTCAACGACTCTGTTTACAAGCTCAGTGTGTCTCTGAGCTTGCAGACAGTTTGGTTTTGCACTCAGAGCTAGTGTGAGGGGTGTGGCTTGGCAGATGACCCTTGATCCAAGGGTCATCTGGGTTTGGGGAACATGGGAGGAATATGTGCCTCAGGAATCGTATCTGTGATCACCAGGAAAACCAGATGGCTTTGCAAGTTCTCTTCCTGATGACAACTGACTGAACTACCGGTAACATCCAAGAGACACTGTTCTTTCACTGAGACCGTGATCAGGTGGCCCGCCTGGCTGCGAGGTTCATTCCTTCGGAGCCAGGGCTGGCTCCATGACACCGTGGTGAGAGTTGCCTAGCTATAGTATGTTTCTTGTCAAGACTGAACACCTTGTAAATGTGTACATCTTCATATATTTATGCATGCAATAAATGTCATTCTCTACGCATGTAGCCAACCTGAACTTGTCTGTGGAGTAATGAAGGGGGCCATGGTTAGCATCTGCTCACGGACTGGGTGCTGTCCTTAGAACAGGCGCCTCTGGCTCTTCTCATGTAAGGACTGGATGTTGGCGTGATCTCTCCGGGGTTGGCACCTGGCAGGTTGGGCTGTGGGCCCAGGTGGATGAGATTTCCTGCTTGTTTTGCTCTTGGTAGAAGCTCTTACAGGAGGCTCTGATTTGGGAGGGAAACTAGTTTCTGGTGTTGCAGAAGCCTCCCTTCCTGCACAAAGTCACCAAAAATCTGAGCATCCTTTCTCCTGCCCTCCGGGGGCAATGGCAGATATCCCTTCTCCTAGACTGCAGTTTTCACTATAATTTTATTTTTGCCAGTCCTGGAGCTTGAACTCAGGGCCTGGCGGGCTGTCCTTGAGCTTTTGTGTTCGTGGCTAGTGCCCTATCACTTTGAGCCACAGCTCTACTTGGGAGTATCATGGACTTTCCTAGCTTTGAGCCATGATCCTCAGATCTCAGCCTCCTGAGTAGCTAGGATTACAGGTGTGAGCCACAGCACCTGGTTGTAAAAGTACTCTTAAGACAAAAATTCGGTATCAAGGGAGTTTGTCAGAGCGGGCCCCCTGTAGCAGCTACCGTGCTCTTGGGAGCCAGATGGTGTGGTCCTGGTTAGGAGGGCTCATGTGAGTGGTTTTAGGTTGCTGGCCTTCTTGCCAATGGCCAGCCCCCATGGATGTCTGCAGGAGGAGGTGAGCAGCCAGCAAGGCAATGGAACCCTTGCAGGTGAGCGCCTCCCCAGTGCTCCAAGACTACACTCCCCTCTGAGGGCCCTCTGCCTCCCCAACTTGGCTCCCCTCTGATCCTGTCATCTTCTGGGCTTGGTCAAGTCCAGCTTCTCAGGGGCTTGCTTTCCTCCTTTTTGTTAAGGGAACCACAGAACTTCTTCACAGGGTTATGGGGTAGGTAGTAGCGGGCAGAAAGAAGTCAGGGCCCCAAGGCCCTCAGAAGTCTGAATTCACTGGCTGTTTGGACTTTGCCCACTAGAGGGTGCTGTGGACCCAGGGTAGGCCCAGCACAGGGCCTAGAGAGATGGCCATGCAGGGGCCATGCCAGAGGCCACGTCAGGGCCTCTGGGCTACTTGGTTGAGTAGTCCCTCCCCTGGGAATCAGGAGAACAAGCCAGGGAAACAGATCCTGGTGATAACTGCCTCTTACTCCGCTCCAGTCTTGCTGGCTCCTGGTTGTGCCTGCTGCTTGGTCCGTGCAGTGTCCCCGGAGGTGCTGCAGAGGGAGGGAGGAAGGTTGCTCCCATTGCTGGGTCCAGGATGAGGGCGGCAAGGGTCTGGGTCTACAGAGGAAACTGGGTTGGCACCTACGGTGTGAAGATATCCTGGTGGGACCAGAAAGCAAGGTGGGCAGGAGGGGGCCAGGCCAGGGTTCCTAGCCTTGCTCAAGACTGGCACATGCCTGTCCCCGCACCATCATGCCCGCACCCTTCCTTCTTGGTTCCTCTATTACATGCTCACTACCTGCACATCTGCGTGTCACTTTTGCGCCTAGGATGCACGAGCTCTGGGGAATGCGATGGTGCTGCTGCTGGCACCCAGAGGAAGCTCGCTCTTACACAGGAGCAGCAAGGGGTGCTCATCACATTTTGCATTTTGTTGGGGTGTAAGTGAGCTGCTGTGTGTGTGGGGCAGCTTGTTTTCTTGGCAGAACGGTGATGCAGGCGGTGGTTTTAAAGGTTTCCAGAACCTTCCATGTAGGCAGGACCCTCCTCTAATAACTGTACTGTCAGCGTGGAGAGCCATGGCAGGAAGTGACTTCTTTTTTTTTTTTTTGGGTCCCGTCGTGGGGCTGAACACTGGGCCTGGGCACTGTTTCTCAGCTCTTCAGCTCAAGGCTAGCGCTCTACCACTTGAGCCACAGCGCCACTTCCGGTTTTTTCTTTTTGCTTATGTGGTGCTGGGGAATCGAACCCAGGGCCTCAGGCATGCAAGGCAAGCGCTCTACCACTGAGCCACCTTCCCAGCCCAGGAAGTGACTTCTGAGTGCAGGCCACACCAGGTGCCAGGCTCTCTTCGCTGTCTTGGACCCCACTCCCACGTCCCACACTATTAGGACACCGAAGCAGCTCTGTGGAGCGGCCATGAGGCTGTGCCTTTTCAGAGGCCCTCTCCAGCCTCCGGAAGATGCCAGCCCTGCCAGCATCTTGCCTGAAATCCATGGGAGACTGAGCCAGAGCCACAGAATGAAGCTCCTACATTTCTAACCCTCAGTAGCCAAACATTTCTTATTTCTCAGCTTCTCAATGTGGAAAAACTTATTATACAGTAATAGGAAACTACAGAATGCTGGGCCAGGGAGGGCACTGGGCAGGTGACATCTGTGACATTTTGGGCTGATGGAAGCATGGGATGGTGAGGTACCACTGAGCTGAACTCAGGCAAAGGACTAGACACCCCTGGAATGCCAGAACTCTGAGAACTGAGGCTGCAGCCCAACTGAGGACTCACCGCATGAGGCCAGCTGGGAACCAGGCCCGGAGCGGGGCAATGAATCCAGACCCGCCAGATAGTCTTGGTGAACGTGCCCCTGGCCCACAACCCGGAGGCTGGTCTGGGAGCACCGTGTAGCGCATAGTCTCCCCCCTGGGGTTCCAGAATGTGGCCTCTGCTGGCCACGTCCAGGCCCAGGACCATCCAAGAAGGAAAGGTTTCAGATCCAGACAGAGTGGCTATCTGTCACGACACGGACACTCCAGGCCAGGACCTGAGTTCTTTCTGTTAAGAGACAGAGACATGGCAAGGGCCACACTGTGGTTGCTTCTGCGTGGTCTGTGTCTGTGGAGAACACAGGGATGGGATTTGAACTCTCCTGACCAGGACTGTTGCTGTGCGTGGAAGGGAGGAGAGAAAATGGTGGTGGTGTTCAGCCTCCCTCCCCCCGCCCCCAGCACAGGACCATGGTACAGAAATGGCATGGCAGGGGTGTTCAGACCCCCAGCACAGGACCATGGCATGGAAATTCTTGAGGAAGCCGTCATCCAGGAATGCATCCAGGAAGGGGCTGAGGCATGCATTGGCATACTGAGGCTGGTGAGACGTGGGAGATGCCGGTGACCAGGGGTGTCTGGGGCACATCTGGGGCCAAGTGGGATGGTGCCCAGCAAAGGACGCACGCAGCCAGCACAGCAAGGACTGGAGCAGTCACCACGCGCTTGGCCTTGCTCAGGACCTTGGCACCGGAGCGAAGCCGCATGGCCGCAGCCTACACAAGTCCACTAGAGCACACAGAGGGTACACGGGGCACCACGAGGCCCGGCACCAAGGTGTAGATGCGGCTGGCCTTGAGCCAGGCCTGCTCAGGCCTTGGAAGCTCAGCCCACAGCTGGGCACCTGCAGCTCATTGCTGTAGTCATGGGCAGAGAGAAGAAGGGCGGGACCAGGGTGGTGACGCCCAGCCAGACACATAGGCCAGCCACTTTGCCCCCCACCGGGTGCGCCTGGGCTTGCGGCGGGACCTTGTGTGGCTGGCATCACCAGGTAGCGGTCCACACTCATTGCGGCCAAGAAGTAGACACTGGAGAAGATGGTGTAGTGATCCAGGGCTAGTACCAGTTTGCAGAGTGACTCCCCAAAGGGCTGGTGCTGCAGCAGGTGCTCGGCAGTGCGGGCTGGCCACAGTGCGCAGAGTCTGGTTCAGGACGGATACGTTGGTCACCGTTTTCATCTTGAGCACTCTCAGGATCACATAGAGCACAGCCAGTTAGCTCTGTGGCGTCGATCACAGAGCAGGTGGCTGACAGGAGGGCATGGAGCAGCGATGGTGGCTGTGGGGAGGTAGTGTTGGTCTGGCTGCCGCTGTGCTGGGGCAGGCCGGCACCCATGAGGGCAGGAAGAAGCAGCCTCTGCCATCCAGGGACTCTGAGCCTGCAGCACTCTGCATCCCGGCAGGCCTCCAGGAGATGACTGGGTGGGGGCCCCCTTGGATGGGCATCGGGAAGAGCAAGCAAGAATGTCTGGGACCTGGCTGCGGGCGCAGGGACCACCTCATGGTCTCTGGCAAGGCAGAGACCCCTGGGGCCCCGCTACGGGTAGAGCTTCTGGATGTGAGCACCCTGGGCAGCTCAGGTCCTCTCTTGGGGTGCCCTCCTGTGAGGGCATCTGCATGCCCGCTAGGGATGATGAATGTTGGGCCTCCCCCTCCCCACGCACAATAAGCAGAAGCAGGGCCATTCTTTTTGGAACAGCTCCCAGGTGCCTCCCAGAGCCTCTGAACCCAAGAGCTCTTCCCCCTCTGCCGGCACAGCTGACCTTCTCTGTGCTCACCTGTCTGGAGCGTTGTGGTCAGAAGTGGAGGTCTTGGTGTGCTGCAGAGATAGAGATGGTCTGTGGAGGGTGGGGGGATCCTACCACCCAGGAAGGGGCTTCTGGAACCTTCCCTGCTGGTGCCTCAGCTCTGTGGCTCTCAGCACAGTCCCAGCTTCGTGCTGAGCTGATGCTGCAGGGAGGGAGGGCAGGAGGGCGGGCGGAGGCGGTCACGCTTGCTGAGTGGGCCCTGTGGAGGCCGGTGCTTCTCCCACCCCAGTGCTGCTCTCCAGTGCCTGTGCTTACTTGCATACAAAGGGCACACTTTCTTGTGTAAAAGTGTCTTAGTGTATTCTGGGCCTATTCCTGAGCAGGAGCATGATATGGGCCATGTGGTGTGTGTGTGTGTGTGTGTATTCCACGTGTGTGTTGGTGTGCCACACATGTGTGTGGGCCTGTGGTCCACGTGTGTGTTGGTATGCCACACATGTGTGTGAGCCTGTGGTCCATGTGTGTGTTGGTGTGCTGCCAGTGTGTGTGGGCCTGTGGTCCACGTGTGTTGGTGTGCTGCCCGTGTGTGTGTGGGCCTGTGGTTCACGTGTGTGTTGGTGTGCTGCCCGTGTGTGTGGGCCTGTGGTCCACGTGTGTGTTGGTGTGCTGCCCGTGTGTGGGGGCCTGTGGTCCACGTGTGTGTTGGTGTGCTGCCCGTGTGTGGGGGCCTGTGGTCCACGTGTGTTGGTGTGCTGCCCGTGTGTGGGGGCCTGTGGTCCACGTGTGTGTTGGTGTGCTGCCCGTGTGTGTGGGCCTGTGGTCCATGTGTGTGTTGGTATGCCACACGTGTGTGAGCCTGTGGTCCACGTGTGTGTTGGTGTGCTGCCCGTGTGTGTGTGTGGGCCTGTGGTCCACGTGTGTTGGTGTGCTGCCCGTGTGTGTGGGCCTGTGGTCCACGTGTGTGTTGGTGTGCTGCCCGTGTGTGTGAGCCTGTGGTCCACGTGTGTGTTGGTATGCTGCCCGTGTGTGTGGCCCTGTGGTCCACGTGTGTTGGTGTGCTGCCCGTGTGTGTGGGCCTGTGGTCCACGTGTGTGTTGGTGTGCTGCCCGTGTGTGTGTGTGAGCCTGTGGTCCACGTGTGTGTTGGTGTGCTGCCCGTGTGTGTGTGAGCCTGTGGTCCACGTGTGTGTTGGTGTGCTGCCCGTGTGTGTGTGAGCCTGTGGTCCACGCGTGTGTTGGTGTGCTGCCCGTGTGTGTGTGGGCCTGTGGTCCACGTGTGTGTTGGTGTGCTGCCCGTGTGTGGGCCTGTGGTCCACGTGTGTGTTGGTATGCTGCCCGTGTGTGTGTGGGCCTGTGGTCCACGTGTGTTGGTGTGCTGCCCGTGTGTGTGGGCCTGTGGTCCACGTGTGTGTTGGTGTGCTGCCCGTGTGTGTGGGCCTGTGGTCCACGTGTGTGTTGGTGTGCTGCCCGTGTGTGTGAGCCTGTGGTCCACGTGTGTGTTGGTGTGCTGCCCGTGTGTGTGGGCCTGTGGTCCACATGTCTGTTGGTGTGCTGCCCATGTGTGTGAGCCTGTGGTCCACGTGTGTTGGTGTGCTGCCCGTGTGTGTGAGCCTGTGGTCCACGTGTGTTGGTGTGCTGCCCGTGTATGGGCCTGTGGTCCACGTGTGTTGGTGTGCTGCCCGTGTGTGTGGGCCTGTGGTCCACATGTGTGTTGGTGTGCTGCCCGTGTGTGGGCCTGTGGTCCACGTGTGTTGGTGTGCTGCCCGTGTGTGTGGGCCTGTGGTCCACGTGTGTGTTGGTGTGCTGCCCGTGTGTGTGGGCCTGTGGTCCACGTGTGTTGGTGTGCTGCCCGTGTGTGGGGGCCTGTGGTCCACATGTGTGTTGGTGTGCTGCCCGTGTGTGTGGGGGCCTGTGGTCCACGTGTGTGTTGGTGTGCTGCCCATGTGTGGGGGCCTGTGGTCCACGTGTGTGTTGGTGTGCTGCCCATGTGTGTGTGGGCCTGTGGTCCACGTGTGTTGGTGTGCTGCCCGTGTGTGTGTGGGCCTGTGGTCCACGTGTGTGTTGGTATGCTGCCCGTGTGTGGGCCTGGGGTCCACGTGTGTTGGTGTGCTGCCCGTGTGTGTGTGATCCTGTGGTCCACGCATGTGTTGGTGTGCTGCCCGTGTGTGTGTGGGCCTGTGGTCCACGCGTGTGTGTTGGTGTGCTGCCTGTGTGTGTGGGGGCCTGTGGTCCACGTGTGTTGGTGTGCTGCCCGTGTGTGTGGGGGCCTGGGGTCCACGTGTGTTGGTGTGCTGCCCGTGTGTGTGTGGGCCTGTGGTCCACGTGTGTGTTGGTGTGCTGCTCGTGTGTGTGAGCCTGTGGTCCACGTGTGTGCTCGTGTGCTGCCTATGTTAGCTTGCACGGGGTTCCTGAGGTGACTGTGCCCTGCTTCTAGGGGTCCACCTGTGTTGTGGGCTGAGCATGGGGCCAGGACTGTATATCCTCATACGGGAATGGGATTTGTTGGTTACGTGGACTCACTGTTTTTACCCTAAAAGGGAATGCAGACATGAAAAAGCTGGACAAGTCCTCTAGCTGGACAAGCGCCTCTCGAGGCATTGGAGAGAGGGGTTTGCTCCCAACGCCTGCTCCCGGCCCCTTCGGAGCTGTTTAGGAGGCTTCTGGGTAGGGGAGCCACACTCTGCCGGGTCTCTGTCCCATTCTCCCCCGGGCTGGGTACAGCTGAGCTATGCTGCATTGGCACAAGGCTGGCTCTGGCTCTGCTTTTGTGGCTGCTGGGGGGATGAGCAGTCTTGGGGGTAGACGGCTCCTCAGTGAGGGCTGGTGGCCTGGAAGGTCTGTGTGTCTTCAGCCTGGGGAGATGTCTGCCCATGGAAATGCAAATGACTATCCTCTGGATTGCAAGGCATCACTCACACTTGAAGGCTGGCTTCTTGTATGAGTTGCTGTGTCAGGTCTGTTGGTCCCTGGGCCCCTCTGGACAGTTGCCCTGCATACCCTGCAGGTACCAGGCCTGAGACCTTCTGGAAACCCTGTGGGTGGGCCGCAGCTCTCCCGGTAGCCTTGGCTGTGCAGGCACTCAGCTCTGAAGACGCATGGATGGCGGGGTCCTACGGACAGGGTTAGTGGTGGGTCTGTGGATGTCTAGGGGAACTCTAACTGGAGGACACTGGTTCCACGAGGTCAGGAGCTATTAATGACCATGAAGTAAGGTTGATCAGGCTGAATTTCATGATTTGGGGGTGCTTGTGGGGCAGAAGATCAGTTTATAGCTCCTGGAAATCAGAGATATAACAGAGGGTCAGTCTCTGAACCCTCCTTGGCCTGTGGGACCAAGGTGTTGACAGAAGTGTGGGGTAGCTCAGGCAGCAGCGGGGGTGGGGGGGGGGTGGGGGGGGGACTGCCCTGCCTCAGCCTGGGGGGGGGAGTGGGAGGGGAGGACTGCCCTGCCTCAGCCCGGGGGGGGGAGTGGGGGGGACTGCCCTGCCTCAGCTGGGGGGGGGGAGTGGGGGGGACTGCCCTGCCTCAGCCGGGGGGGGGGAGAGTGGGGGAGACTGCCCTGCCTCAGCCGGGGGGGGGGGGAGTGGGGAGGACTGCCCTGCCTCAGCCGGGGGGTGGGTGGGGGGGACTGCCCTGCCTCAGCCTGGGGGGGGGGGAGTGGGGAGGACTGCCCTGCCTCAGCCGGGGGAGGGGTGGGGGGGACTGCCCTGCCTCAGCCGGGGGAGGGGTGGGGGGGACTGCCCTGCCTCAGCCGGGGGGGGGGAGAGTGGGGGGGACTGCCCTGCCTCAGCCGGGGGGGGGGGTGGGGGGGACTGCCCTGCCTCAGCCCGGGGGGGGGGAGTGGGGGGGGAGGACTGCCCTGCCTCAGCCCGGGGGGGGGGAGTGGGGGGGGAGGACTGCCCTGCCTCAGCCCCGGGGGGGGGGAGTGGGGGGGACTGCCCTGCCTCAGCCGGGGGAGGGGTGGGGGGGACTGCCCTGCCTCAGCCCGGGGGGGGGGAGTGGGGGGGACTGCCCTGCCTCAGCCCGGGGGGGGGGGAGTGGGGGGGACTGCCCTGCCTCAGCCTGGGGGGGGGAGTGGGGGGGGGAGGACTGCCCTGCCTCAGCCTGGGGGGGGGAGTGGGGGGGAGGACTGCCCTGCCTCAGCCCGGGGGGGGGGGAGTGGGGGGGACTGCCCTGCCTCAGCCTGGGGGGGGGAGTGGGGGGGAGGACTGCCCTGCCTCAGCCTGGGGGGGGAGTGGGGGGGACTGCCCTGCCTCAGCCTGGGGGGGGAGTGGGGGGGACTGCCCTGCCTCAGCCCGGGGGGGGGGAGTGGGGGGGACTGCCCTGCCTCAGCCTGGGGGGGGAGTGGGGGGGACTGCCCTGCCTCAGCTGGGGGGGGAGTGGGGGGGACTGCCCTGCCTCAGCCCGGGGGGGGGGGAGTGGGGGGGGACTGCCCTGCCTCAGCCTGGGGGGGGGAGTGGGGGGG